ATATATATCTACATTACATGCTCTCTCGTTTTTTTCTTTATGTTTGTTGTTGTGTCTAAGTAAAATAACGTTTGTCATACTAATGAAGTAGTACAGGTTTAAGTATTGTTCGTGTTTAATCAAATAACTATTTGTGGATATGATTAATTAACTTTAGCGTAAGAATAATAGTATATAAGTTTCATAATTTTTCTTCCATGTCATTAAAGTTTCTTCTTGAGTCACATACAGAATCTGCTTAGTGGAGTTGAACATTCTCACGAAAGGTATTGTTATTGGTCAGTTATTTTGATCAAGAGATTTATTTTTTTCTTCGAAAGCCATAATTATACATTTCTACTAATTAGTCATTTTTATTATTTCATATTTTTTGTTGGCTCACAGAATATGAAATAAATTCAAATTTATTCATTATTCAATTTAGTATATTTCGTATTATTTCATTTGTAAAACCAATAAGCAAATATTTGAAAGAAAAAACCTATAATTTATCTACAAATTAAAATGTTTCGCAGCACATGTTTATCCTCACAGTGATTTATTTTATAAGCTAGAAACTATCTTCGGTATTGTAAACTAACATATTCACTAACGACTGAAAGCTATAGATACTTATGGGAGTTAAACAATTAGATCAAAAGAGGTAACACCATCAAAAGGAGATATTCAGGAAATCTTGTTTTAAACTGGGCAAAATTATTTTTTATAACTGCTATGGGTATGTTATAAAACTGACATTCAATCTCTTATTCGGTTTTAAGATCTAGATAAAGTCCTTGTGGGTACGGGTGCTGCTGACTGACTACCTTCCCTCTGGTTAGTACTTTAAAACAGGGGTGGCTACAACTGAAACCCAAGGATCTCTGACCTAATCATTTAGTCCACGTTGAAAAATTCAACTTTCATCCTATAAATACTTGTACATTCACTGATATGCTCGGAAGGTAATTATGGCCAATTACACTTACGTAAAGTTCTTCACTAACAAAGACTAACAACATGACACTTTGTTTCTGCTAATTTAAAATCTGCGGGTCACGGATTCGAATCCCCGTCACATGCTCGCCCTCTCAGCTGTGGGGGCGTTATAATATGAGGTCAATCCCACTATTCGTTGGTAAAAGAGTAGCCCAAGAGTTGGCGATGGTTGGTGATGACTAGCTCCCTTCCCTCTAGTCTTACACTGCTAAATTAGGGACGGCTAGCACAGATAGCCCTCGTGTAGCTTTGCGCAAAATTCATAACAAACAAACAAACAATTAAGCTCTGGTACACTTTATCTCATAAGTACTATTTGAGCCGTTTCTAGCATCATCTTGTCCGTTGACGATAATAATTTGTATAATTTTATACTGTTGGCGAGATTAGTTACTATACTTGCATACACAGTTGATGAGAATATCTTGTATAAATACATACACTGTTGGCGAAATTAGTTTATATAATTACATACACCGCTGATGAGATTAGTTTATATAATTACATACACCGCTGATGAGATTAATTTATATAATTACATACACTGTGACGAGATTAGTTTCCATAATTTTTTACACTTTTGACGAGAATAGATTCTATAGTTACATTCATGGATACAAATAAAACTAAATTGGAAGTCACGTGCTTTTCGGCATGCGCAAGCGGCCGCCATTGCTATGTGTTGAACTTTCCAATCCCGCCAGTCGAACTGACAATAGCAAGGCGATCTCATCTCACAACTTATGGTTGTTTTTCTATCTAACCTAAACGTTTGGATAATTTTGTTATTTGATTTTAATAAATTTGTCAAGCCAAGATGAGCTAAACCTGATTTTAACTCAGAAATTAGTGCAAAAATCGTTCACAAAACACACATAACTGACCTGTAATATGAAGAATGCATTGGATTTTAGCTCAGAGGGAAATCTTAAGATTAAAATATATTCTTTTTCCTCGGTGTTTATTATATGCTACAGAAAAATATACATCTTAAATATATTTACCAATGAAGAAGAGGTGGCACGTTATGTTCTTTTCTGGGGGGAAGGGGTGGAGAAGAATGTTATTCGTGTATCTGCACCTCCAAAAATTCAACATCGAAGTGGATGGAAATTTTTTTAAATATGATATAAATGGCAAATTACCATTTCATTAGTCTGGTGTTGTTTAATCTGCATACCATAATATATGTCCAATATTTGCTGTAAGTACCTATGCGTTTTACTCTATCATGTACATATCTAAATTTTCATGACCAGTACATTTTCCCATCATGAACACGTCAATACAGTTAATAATGGTCCTATTTCAACTTGTATAAATTTACAATTGTGCAGTAACTTTAGTCTACCAGCATGTATAATGATAAATAAAAAGATTATAATATAATTCGAATTTTCCCTCAATATCTTTTTTTTTTTAAGAAAACGGCCATATGGTAATTTATGCCACAGAGTAATTTCACAAATCTTACAAACATGATTGAGTAGAGAAATTACAAGGACATAGGCCTGACTTTTCCGACTGAGTACAGTACACCACAATGGATTAGTTTCAAGAATACTGTGGAATATACTTATCTACAGCGTAGTCAACAATTTTCACTATTTAATTTACAATTCATAATTATATGCCAGCCAAATTCTGCTATTTCATGTGCTATTTCAGTACTTTGTTTTCATGTGAACATGCAAGTACACAATCAACATTGTGCAAAACATTTCTACATCTAATACACTTAACTGATATTTCACGCATACATTACAATTAAATGTAACAAAATAGAAGGCATGTACATATATAACTGTAATAAAACTAGGCTCACTCTGTTACAAGCACTCTTCTATATATATATATATCACAGTTACATTAAGTCCCCATAAGTTGAAATAATCATCCACGACATTCTAATGTCGCCTGCTGGCCAGTTAGGCTATACAGAGACGCCGCTAAAACATACACTGTCTACAGATACAAGTTCTGTGTACATCCACTTTTGATGCTATCACTGAGATAGAAGATTATTAAATATACCACTCCGCTTAGTGGATGAGAGAGGAAATTTGGTTAATTTTTATGGTTTAAGACAAGTCTAGTCTGATCAGTGACGTCATGGCTTATCCGGGAAAAATTCAAATATAGTCCTAATACTGTCAAAAGACTCATTCTTAGAATTACATGGAAGATTAAATTTTTGCAGGTGGCTCCTTCCAGTCCAAAATCCTTGAGCTGTCATTGTCATTATGATAACTGATCAGTATGCAGTACAAGTGGCCCAAAATATTTTGTGTTGCTTGAACAAAGAAAAAAAACATTAATATTGTCGGCATTTCAAACTGTCATACCGAGTTGTGTAGGTGAAATGCCTTCCAAAAAAAGACTCGCATATATAATTTGAAACTACATGTAAACATCCACGGTAGTTCGATGTCGCCACCATGTCCATGGCGATGTCGCCCACTGTAACTTAATATATTAATAGAAGAAAAAAAAGGTTTTATTTACTTGTGGAATGTAACACCATCCGCCTTCGACTCTTGGTTACGATATGCGTAACAGTTAATGACATATCACTTTGTTCCATTCGTTCTATCGGGTCGTGACTTAGACGGACGATTGTCACTCTCGGTCACTTTACATTGTCTGTTTGTTCGAACTCCAACACTGGCCAGTCTAGTGTTATTCGTATCTATGGTTACATTACATACACTATTGATGAGAATAGTTCCATAATTTCATACACTATTGAAGAGAATAGTTCCATAATTTCACACACTGTTAACGAGAATAGCTTCTATAGTTACATATACTGTTGACGAGAATAGTTTTATAATTACATAAAAGGTTGAGCTATTAGTTTGCCATTTAAAAGAAAGAGTGACAGAGAAATTGTTCTTAAATGTGATAAAGATTTTGAAGCATGTATCTTTCACTTTCAAAAATCTATCTAGGTCGTTGAAAGACACTTGAAACGTAATACGGCTGTTTCAATACAACTCAATATGAACTAATTAAAAAAAAGACATTGAACGATGGTTAAAGTTTAAAATGAAAACGAATTCAACTGCTGATAAAAAAATAGAGTGTTCACAAAGCTTCAAACCCTATATGTCAAATAATTGTTACGAATTCGTTTAAATAAATTAATATGTTGTTGTTGTTATTTTTTGTACACCTTGCCATTGGTGGCAAAATTATAATTGGATAAAATAAATATCAATATTACTAAACAGAGTAGCGGTTTAACGAATTGCTTTGGTTTAAAACTACACACAAGAAAAAGCAAGTCTGACCAAGAAGGTAGCATTTTTGTTCAGAGTCGTTACGTTTCACACATAATAAAATATAAAGTTATGTGTTAATCACATCATAAGAAAATATTTTCATCTATACATCTACCTAACTATCATTTTAAGCTTCGATATACGTGTGTGCTACATAATGAAATTAGATTTAATGTAATTAAAATTTTCAATTTGAACAGTACTTTCGTCTCTCATTTTGAACAATTAACCAGACAGACATCCCGCAGCACCCGCCGCCGCAAGGCCTTTATCTGGCTCTCTGAACCAAATAACGGGATTGTATCTTTTATAATGCGTCTGTAACTGAAAGTGCAAAACATTTTCAGTGGCATCATGTCTCGAACTCTTGACCCTTCAGTCTATAACAAGACCTTCAAGCACTAGGCCATGCAAGACTATTATAATTCTTCTCACATACACTGATACAACACTGGTTCTATTCATTTTTAAAACATAAACTGACTTTCCCAACAACAGAAACAAATGGTGTTATGGTATGTCAGTCAAGAGAAACAGCAATTTCCTCTCGTCTTAGTAACCTATTCAACTAGAGTACCACATGCAGTTTCTCGTGGAAAAGATTCCTTTAAAGTTGAGCATGCTATATCGAAATAGACAATGATTTTTCCACAAAAAGATCAGGTGATCCCTTGAGGATAAAACCGCCCTAATTTTGCATAGAGATCGGCCATCAGTAACGTGGGTAACGCTTGTATCCTGAGAAGAATAGTATTATTGTTTTCTGTATGTAATACTTTGTTTTCTCAGTGTGGAACAGCACTAGAATTTGGAGTAGTGTTAGAACTTCATTCATCAGTGAACTCTCCAGTAAAGGTACCACAAGGTACGCTTTTTAAACTTTAATTCCTGTAATTTAATATCGATCATTTCACTGTGTTCTACATTGCTTCCAGCCTCTTTCTTTTCTCCCTATCGTCGAAAAAAATTCAGATTTTTCTCCGTAATACATTTTCTGATGGACCTCCTGTTTTTCTGTGGAACCTACCCGATTACTCTAAGGCAAATCAGTGAAGCTGAGAATACCAGGATGTTCGTAAACATAAGTTGGAAAGATACTGGGTTTGTTTAGCAATCTTTGTAAACCCCGATAACACATAGAGAGGTGTGGGTACTTTTTCAGACAAAACATATCGCATGGTATGTGTGGTGTTGATGTATTTCTTTTCGGGAAAACACATTACATTTTAAAGTTGGACAGGAATGAAGAAACGTCGCCAACAGAAGGAAGTCCGTTGCTGGTAAGTCTGGCCCGGCATGGCCAGGTGGTTAGGGAACTCGACTCGCAATCTGCGGGTCGCGGGTTCGAATCCCCGT